GAGCCGTCAGATGATTATGACGACGCATGTTTCTACTGAGATGAACGTACGATAACATCGCAACCGTCAGTGCGAATGCTGTCAGCTGGTTTTGTCGAGACCGTCAGATGATCACGAGAGCAGAAATGTGGCTCTCGATCGATCCACACCGTCGAGATGGAATCTTCACCTGTCCAACACACCATCTGATTGGAATTTTCGAGAGTGGGGCACCACAACTCAGCACAGAAATTGATCATGCAACCACGCAACCAGGTTCATTGCACGTGACGTAGCCACGCGTACAAAGCCACGCGGCAACACTCGAGGGTGACACCCCTAACCCTATCCAGCACAGCGGCGGTTCTATGAACGTGGCTGGGATAGAGCGTTGGTTCGGTGCGGCGATTTCCCATTGGCCACTAAAAGGTGTGTTGTGCCAGCTCTTGGCATACGTGACGTGGCCGCCGAAAGGTGTTTCCAACATAGTAATGCTATGTAATTTGCCTCTGATGGCGCGATGTACATTGTATAACACACGCACGAATAGCCTGGTTAAATTATAATTATTCAGAGTAGTGCCCAGAACTTACATTATATTTGTGTACTTTGGTTGCACCTTGAGTGTGTTTTTTGATATCATCTTTAGCAATTCGCGAATCATTAGACCTATTGAAATGTAGGTAATCGACTAAATCTAGGTGTTAACCGAAATATATGTGACAGTAACACGACACATCAAGCTGCGAAAATAGTGTCCGTTATAAATTCCTTATGTCAGTGCAAAATATGGCTGGGAAATATAATATTCTAGGGAAATGTGTCAAGAAATATAGGTAAAAACAAGACCCCGACGTTGAGACGGTGACATGTTGCGCACAGGCCTATCCTCGCACAGATTCAGTCCAGCAAACGCACAAGCATGCGCCACGTGCTGTGTAGTTGTGCGAACGAGATCAAACCAGTTCCTATGGCTAGGGAATAGGATATACTAGGAATCCGTGTGAATAAACAGTGGTTAAAAAAACATCCGGAGGTTGGCGTAGGAACATGTTGCGCACAGGCTTATCCTTGCACGGATTCACGCTAGCAAACGCACAAACAGGCGCCACGTGCTGCGTAGTTGTGCGAACGAGGTCAAACCAGCCTATATGGCTAGGGAATAGGATGTACTAGGGAGGTGTGTGATGAAATAGGGCTAAAAAAGGCATCTAGATGTTGGCGCAGTGACATGTTGCGCACAGGCCTATCCTCGCACAGATTTAGTCCAGCAAACGCACACGCATGCGCCACGTGCTGCGTAGTTGTGCGAACGAGGTCAAACCAGTTCCTGTGGCTAGGGAATAGGATGTAGTAGGAATTTGTGTGAATAAACAGTGATTAAAAAAGCATCCAGAGGTTGGCGTAGTAACATGTTGCGCACAGGCCTATCCTTGCACGGATTCAGGCTAGCAAACGCAAAAACAGGTGCCACGTGTTGCGTAGTTGTGCGAACGAGGTCAAACCAGCTTCTATGGCTAGGGAATAGGATGTACTAGGGAGGTGTATGATGAAATAGGACTAAAAAAGGCATCTAGACGTTGGCGAGCTTACATGTTGCGCACAGGCCTATCCTTGCACAGATTCCAATGTTTTCTCGCATTTTCGGAACATCACAACTCGATTCCAGTTATGGCGAATGACATCTTACCTGACTAGCATGCTCAGTATGTAGTAAATGCTTCAATCATCTACAATACCTTCGTATCATCTACGATGTCATAGTATTCAGGAGTCACCATGCAAAACGGTTTACCAACCAGGAATCCACCTCACCAACGGGCCGAACGAGATGAACGGCTCGTTTGATGCTATGTATCTCAATGACCCGGTAACGCTGCCTTACTGCAGGCCACCTAAGTCTAGTGCACCCCGTCAACTTATCCTTTCTAGGTTGGATCTGGTAGTACTTGATATATGCGTACTCCATGGTCCTCCCATCTACTTTGCAGTGAAATAGTAAAAGAACCTTAGCGTACCACTCTTCCGTCCCATTGTCGGTCTCCCCTTTCACCACCACGTCTGAGTACCATGGACGTCCATGGTGTATTGGCAGGGCACGTACACGATGGGGCAGTCGGCTGTACTGTGCGTCAACTGCTGCTGGCATGGCCAACTCCCAGTGTACCTGCAGACATTACAAAAACAATGGGCTTAGAGGTGATGTCGCCCTAGTGAACGGTATTCTATAGTATAAAAACATTGTACCTGTATGCTCTTGATGTTCGACCCCTGGTTGTTACACGCAGGGGCAGCGTCAAGGGCCGCTCTTGGGTGTGCCAAATCTGCCCCAATCTCCTTCTCCAGCTTCTCGTCACGCTTCGGTTGTGCGGCGTTCGGGACGCAAAAAGGAGCAGCTGTCCGACCGCGAGGGACGTGTAGGAGCCAAGATCGTCGCGAGAGCACACGCACGCCTGTCCGCTGTGCCTGCAGACGTTAATAGCAATGGACATGCACGTTTGAGATTCAAGTCGTACTTGATATGCACACATGCGAATAGAGGAATTAGCTCACCTTGATCATGGCTGTATCGTACGTCTTCTTCTTGGCTAGCATGGGTGCAATGGACTGCAAACGCAAGCGCTGTACCTCACTCTGTACCACCTGCGCGTTCACACTACGCTTATTCGAGGAGCGATAGGGAGTTTTTATGTATTCGATGTGCAAGTGCTCGTAGAGTTGTGCAGAGTAGTGGTCTGGCAAGCCTGAACGCCGTATCGTATCTATGAAGTGGCTAACGAGATGCATCTTGATGAAGTTCCAGTCCGAAGTCTGCGGGAAATGTGTAGTCAAACCGTAGAGCATCCTGCGCGACAATTGGGTTGTGAACACACCCAGAATTAGTAGGCTAATTGCGGCATGTCATACTGCGTCGAATAGATAAGCAACTCACCGTTGAGCCTTGGTCTTCAATTCGTGCAGACTGCCATCGGTGTGCTCGCATGCACGTGCGCACTCCAGGTACCACTCGATGTACGAAACCAAAGCTTTCATTTGGTCATCCGTAATGCACCCTTCCGCAATAAAGGGCAGAACCTGCATCACAGAACGATGCTCGAACGCTTGGTAATTGGCACCTTTGGCGAAGTATTCACCCGATGGCAGCCTCATGCATCCACCACGTGTGGACTTTTTAAGTTGTTTTAGACGTTGATCTAGCAACTTCATCTTCCTGGGATAGTTTTCCCTAATGTGCGCTCGAATGCTATCCACAATGTGCTCGAAAAGGCCTAGGTCGGCTTGATGCATGATATCAGGAAGCACCGCAAGATACGGGTTGAGCAAGCTCTCCGCTTCCCACCGCCATCCCCAAAGGTAACTCTGCACGTATATAGCATACGATAGTTAGACGAGGGTTATAACATAATTCAAAATGGAAGGGGAGTTTGTAACATACCTGGACCGGGTGAGTCGAAATGGCGTCATCGCCATCTGGTTGGATCGTCTTTGTCCGCACCGAGAGAACAATGGCGCGTTGCTCCGATGGCGTCCGCGCTTGAATGCGGTCGGTGAACAACGCAAGCTTGTCCTTATGAACCTTGCATAGTGAGCAAGGAAAGTTCGTCGATCCCGACTTCGTGCACGTTACTTTGCACGATTCCGGGTAATCCGTGACATGTGCATACATGGATGGCCACACGTTGATTGTTTTCCCCGCCGAGTCGACCATATCTATACCCGTATGAGAAGCACGCTTCAACCCCGCTAGCACCTCGTTCATGATATAATGGAAGATCAGCGTCCTATCTAGGGAATCATACTCTTCGGGATACTCCGGGAGCAAGGCAAGCAAGACGTGCCCATAGGGCTTCCACCTATCGTCCTTGTCAATATTTCCTAGTGTCAAATACACGGGATGCCCTTTAGCCTTCCCACGCTGATCCATATGGGTCTCATCACTTGCAAGAATGAGAGCAGCGACAACACCTTCCGGGTTGACTTCACGTATATTCTTTTGAAGCTCCTCCCACCATAGCGCGGTTTCGGGTGTTGAGTAAACTCGCATGGTGCCATCTTTAACGACGCGAGCCTCCATGCTCATCTTTGGAGCGAGATTGGGGTCCTTTAGTAGATCCTGAAGAGCGACCAGTCCATCGCAGTACCAATTTTCGAGCCACGCCTTGTTCCCCGCTCGAACGGTTTTGCGTCTCCACCCGCGATGCTTATCCGGGGCCCGTGATTCGACGTACTGTTGGACATCGCGCGCAGACTTCCATCCTGTCAGCTGAGAGAGCTCAAATGCATGGTGGAAGAGAATGTTAAACAAGGCTTTGATTGCCTTTTGGGAGATATTGTTGGCTAGCAACCATTGCGCGAATGCATCCCTGCTGTTGAAGGGTGTTTCTGGCGACGTTGCAGCTAGACCGTTATCAGGCAACACGTTCCCATCACTTCCCTCCTGAATGTCGTCCCGCACGATATAATCATCTGCATCACATGGTAAGCTTGCATTCTCGGAATCACTAGAACTAACGTTGCTAGAAGCACTATCATCCAAATGCACCTCTGTCAGAAAATCACCCCCGGTACATGGCACTGGAAAAGCATGTAGATGTTCGTGAAGAGGGGTTGACATGGGCACGGCTGAAGTTGAAGCAACAGCAGTGGGAATAGGATTGGGTGCTACGGTGGGTATGCGAGGGCGTTTATGCAACCCAGGGTTACTTGTGAAGTACGGCGTAGGTGTCATTGCACGCTTTGCAGGGCAGCTTGAGCTACGCATGTGACTCTCCATGCCCTGTTGGGTCAAGAAGGTGTTGACCTTGCAGGCAGGGCAGCGGTAGCTCATCTGAATGAATGGGGCAGAGAGAGAGTGAATGGGGCAGAGCGTGAGTGAATGGGGCAGAGAGGGAGTGAATGGGGCAGAGCGTGAGTGAATGGGGCAGAGAGGGAGTGAATGGGGCAGAGCGTGAGTGAATGGGGCAGAGAGGGAGTGAATGGGGCAGAGCGTGAGTGAACGTGGCAAAGGAGGAGGGAATTGGTCAGAGAGGGACTGACTGGGGCAGACAGGGAGTGAATGGGGCAACGAGGGAGTGAATGGGGCAGAGCGTGAGTGAACGTGGCAAAGGAGGAGGGAATTGGTCAGAGAGGGACTGACTGGGGCAGACAGGGAGTGAATGGGGCAACGAGGGAGTGAATGGGGCAGAGCAAGAGTGAATGGGGCAGAGAGGGAGTGAATGGGACAGAGCGTGAGTGAATGGGGCAGAGAGGGAGTGAGACGGGCAGAGTGGGAGTGAATGGGACAGAGAGGGCGTGCATGGGGCAAGATAGGAAATTAGGAGAGGTGGGGGGGGGGGGTTGTTGTTTTGAGATACCTTGACGAATTACACAGGGAACAGAACAACTCTTCGCTCCACGACAAGTGTTCGGTGTGTCACCACTGCTCCAACAGGCAGCCCTCTCCTACGGTGAACTGGCCAGGGAGATGAGGGAAAAGGGTGTGACAGAGCAAGTGGGGCCGTCAGAGAGCCAGAGCGGCAATGAGCGGGGATGCGAGAGTGGCAGAGAGAGGTAGCGTGAGAGTGGCAGGGAGAGAGAGAGAGAGAGAGAGAGAGAGAGAGAGAGAGAGAGAGAGAGAGAGAGAGAGAGAGAGAGAGAGAGAGAGAGAGAGAGAGAGAGAGAGTATGCGGCAGAGCGCGAGAGAGAATGCGGCAGGGCGTGAGAGAGAATGCGGCAGAGCGCGCACGCGCGCACGAGAGAGAGAGAGAGAGAGAGAGAGAGAGAGAGAGAGAGAGAGAGAGAGAGAGAGAGAGAGAGAGAGAGATAGAGAGAGAGAGAGAGAGAGAGAGAATGCGGCAGGGCGTGAGAGAGAGAATGCGGCAGAGCGAGAGAGAGAGAATGCGGAAGAGCGAGAGTGAGCGAATGCGGCAGAGCGAGAGAGAGAGAATGCGGCAGAGCAAGAGTGAGAGAGAATGCGGAAGAGCGAGAGTGAGCGAATGCGGCAGGGCGAGAGAGAGAGAATGCGGCAGAGCGAGAGAGAGAGAATGCGGAAGAGCGAGAGTGAGCGAATGCGGCAGGGCGAGAGAGAGAGAATGCGGCAGAGCAAGAGTGAGAGAGAATGCGGAAGAGCGAGAGTGAGCGAATGCGGCAGAGCCAGAGAGAGAATGCGGCAGGGCGTGAGAGAGAATGCGGCAGAGCAAGAGTGAGAGAGAATGCGGAAGAGTGAGAGTGAGCGAATGCGGCAGAGCGAGAGAGAGAATGCGGCAGGGCGTGAGAGAGAATGCGGCAGAGCGCGCGCGCGTGCGCACGAGAGAGAGAGAGAGAGAGAGAGAGAGAGAGAGAGAGAGAGAGAGAGAGAGAGAGAGAGAGAGATAGAGAGAGAGAGAGAGAGAGAATGCGGCAGAGCAAGAGTGAGAGAGAATGCGGAAGAGCGAGAGTGAGCGAATGCAGCAGAGCGAGAGAGAGAGAATGCGGCAGGGCGTGAGAGCGAATGCGGCAGAGCGCGCGCGCGCGCGCACGAGAGAGAGAGAATGCGGCAGGGCGAGAGAGAGAATGCGGCAGGGCGAGAGAGAGAATGCGGCAGAGCGAGAGAGAGAGAATGCGGAAGAGCAAGAGTGAGCGAATGCGGCAGGGCGAGAGAGAGAGAATGCGGCAGAGCGCGCGCGCGTGCGCACGAGAGAGAGAGAGAGAGAGAGAGAGAGAGAGAGAGAGAGAGAGAGAGAGAGAGAGAGAGAGAGAGAGAGAGAGAGAGAGAGAGAGAGAGAGAGAGAGAGAGAGAGAGAGAGAATGCGGCAGAGCAAGAGAGAGAGAATGCGGAAGAGCGAGAGTGAGCGAATGCGGCAGAGCGAGAGAGAGAGAATGCGGCAGGGCGTGAGAGAGAATGCGGCAGAGCGCGCGCGCGCGCACGAGAGAGAGAGAATGCGGCAGGGCGAGAGAGAGAATGCGGCAGGGCGAGAGAGAGAATGCGGCAGAGCGAGAGAGAGAGAATGCGGAAGAGCGAGAGTGAGCGAATGCGGCAGGGCGAGAGAGAGAGAATGCGGTAAAGAACATACATGCTACTTCCTTATGCTATGTTCGTTCACGCCACGTCAATGTATAACGCAGATTTCCTGATGCAGTTGCCGGCATCTACAACTCAGGATTGACACGGCGTGAGCACTATGTGGGGCGGTAGGCTCGTGAAAGGGAGGGAGGTAAAATTGCCGTCAGAGAGCTCACCTTTTCGCGTCGTGGACACGTATGTGCCCTCTCTCTGGTCCTTTCGCTACCGCGTCACGTCGCTTGTTGCGCCGTTGCTTCAGCTGCTGCAGATTCGTCGCAGCTTAGCGCGACGCGGCTGCTAAGGCGACAAACGGTCGTTGCGTTATCTCTACAATGGAAGCCAGATTCACGTTTCTGAACACAGAGTTGCCTAGATGTCGAGTGAATTATGGAGTGAATCTCAGGGATGGGTGGAGTGTGGAGGGAGGAGTGATGGAGTCGCGCACGAATAGGGCTCTCTTTGACAGCGCGGTATAATGAGGATCAAAGCGGTGACTTGAGGTACAATGTTTTTATTATACGGTGTATAGCGTTCCTGCACGATTCATACGAGATGCACCAATAATTGTGGACCTGAAATGCGTTCTGTTGGCGAATTGATGAACCGTGAGATGCGGGGCATTTTGGCAGAGAATTATATGTTTAGAAACAAACAACAAAAATTGCTTTTCAATAACTAGCTTCGATACAAGACAATGAACATGTATATGTTAAAACAACCAAACCACATATAAAACCAGTAACTACATCTACAATATCACCATAACAGTACTCAAAATACAGTACACATTCATAACAATAGTTTTTACACGATGGAGAAATGTAATCAAAACATTAGTATAATTGTACAAGTCATTATATAATAAAAACATGTTGGAAACTGTGTACAAAAATTATTAATGTTAAGAACACATTATTAAACTCTTGTGGTAACAAAAAAAAAGTTAGCAAAAACGAACACCCAAACAAAAACAAAGCACATAGTAAAACTGTTCCATAAATGGCATGACTGCAAATTGGTTACATAAAGAGTTACCGATACTTGGATGACGTGGCAACAATCAACCAACATTTTCTCGCAAAGGAGAAATTGCGTGCGTAGTGTTGGTTGTCAACAAGCCCCACACATCTCCCGATCTATCGCCATATTTGTCTGAGACAGCGGACCAATGAAAACGCTCGTAAGCACCCAAGCAGAAACGCCACGTAAACCATGGTTTGTGGTCCACCTGTACAGTGCGCGACTGTTAATACACCCTGTTTCTCGACCCTCTCACCTTGCGCGATTCGCTGCTACAGTGCGGTCAGGTGCCATAAACCGTATGGCTGAAACCTGCGGGCAAAGCCGCACCAGCTGACGGAGTGGTACTGGGGGCAAAATTTTTCTTTATCGCTGTATACCCTTTTCAACCGTTTTGAAACGCTTGGTTAATGTTCTTTACCATGCAGCATCCTAGCTAACCGCTTTCTTGTGAATGTGCTTGTACCGTCGGTGATAAGACCATTTCAAACGTGGTGACGCTCTACAACCAGTGCATGTTCTGCAACCAGATGCTCTGCTAGCGCGAAACAGGGTGTAGAGGTAAATGGTGATCGAGGGGGGTGGGGAGAAAACGAGTAGAAAGGCTTTCGACAATCTGCAGGTATAAACCCAGCACATCCGATGGTAAACTGCCGAGAAGCAGGGTAGTGCGAATTTCACCTCATCAATCATCGAAAATGACCGGCCTCCCAACTCAAAAAAGGACCCCTCGCCCTCCCCCCCCAATACTCGGCAGTTTCACATTTTTCCGATGCAGACTGATCTGATGAGCCTTTTATTAGGAGTTTTCATATCGGACCCAAGCACGTGGAAGTTTCTACGAGTGGCAGTTACTACCTTACAGCTGCGAGGATGCTGTCGTTCCGCTAGGATGTGGTGGCGCAGCTGCACGACGAGGGCGGGCTGTGCTGAAGGGGTTGCATAGGTCGATTCCGAGTAAACAACACCCGTCCCCTTTTTCTCAGTCAGGATGCTGTCGTTCCACGAGGAGGTGGTGGCGCAGCTGCACGAGGAGGGCGGGCTGGCGGTCCTGGGGGCGGGGCTGGGGCTGCACAAGGTGCTCGCGCTGCTCCTTCGCTACCACCACATCACCAACGCCTCCTGCTCCCGCAGCCTCGGGATCATCGGCAGCAGTAGCAGCGGCGGCGGCGGCAGTAGCGGTAGTAGCGGCTTGGGTGGTTACAATGGGCGGTTGATGTTTGTGATTGGGTTGGCGGAGGAGCAGAGGCAGGCAGTGCAGGAGGAGCTTGAGCTGCTGAACAGAGCTCCGGCCCTTCCCACAGCTCCTTTTGAGAACTCTCAAAATGCGGCTTCCCGCTCCAGCCCGCCTGCTGCTACTCCCCGGGACAATCTTGCAGCAGCAGGATCAGGGTCAGCTGCTGCTGCTACTGCAGCAGCAGCAGCAGCAGCAATGCCTGTAGCATCAGCAAGGAGAGCAGCTGCTGCTGTGGTAACAACATCCGCAGAGGGACACGAGGCTGCAGAGGTGTCAAGTGTAGGAGCAATTGCTGGACGAGAGGCAGAAGCACCACTGTCGACTGTGCTGCACCGCGCTGCACTCCCGTGCGTGCTGGCGGAGGTGAACAGCAGCATGTCGAGTGCTGACAGGGTGGCGGCGTACCGAGAGGGAGGGTGCTTCGCCGTGACCTCCCGCATCCTCATTGTCGATATGCTCTCCGATCGAGTGCCTTTCAGTAAGGTATACTGTGCCTTTCAAGCAGGTGACCTCCTGCATCCTCATTGTCGACATGCTCTCCGACCGAGTGCCTTTCAGTAAGGTATACTGTGCCTTTCAAGCAGGTGACCTCCCGCATCCTCATTGTCGACATGCTCTCCGACCGAGTGCCTTTCAGTAAGGTATACTGTGCCTTTCAAGCAGGTGACCTCCCGCATCCTCATTGTCGAAATGCTCACAGGGTCACCGACACAGGAGGTTGCTGTTCAGTTATTCTCTATTACTCTTCTTCTCCCCTCCCACTTGCCCTCTCCCTCTCCTCCTCCCCTCCCACCTGCTGTGCGCTTAGCACAAGGGCATATTAGTGGTGAACGCACACAGGGTCACCGGCACAGGAGGTGCTGTTGAACAATTAGTTACTCCCTCTCTCCTCTTCCCCCATTGCACATGTCTTGCTCGCAGCTCAAGGGCATATTAGTGGTGAACGCACACAGGACAGGATCACCGACACAAGAGGAGAGGAGATATCAAGTCATTTGTTACTACTCTTCTTTTCCCCTCGCCCCTGCCCTCCTCTCCTCCCCTCCCATCTGCGGTGCTCGCAGCTCAAGGGCATGGTGGTGGTGAACGCAAGCAGGGGTACTGCCACAGGAGGTTGCTGCTGAGCCATTCTTTACCCCTTTTTTTTAAACCAAAAAAAAAAAAAAAAAGTCGTTGTTGTATATCCTCCTCTCCCCCCTTTCCGCCTGTCTTTCTCCTATCTTGCTCGCAGCTCAAGGGTATAGTGGTGGTGAACGCACACAGGGTCACTGACACAGGAGCAGAGGCCTTCATCCTGAGGCTCTTCAGGTGGGAGCTTCCAGGTGGCCAGCCCCAGGTGGCCCTTCAGGTGGGTTCCAGGTGGTGGTTCAGGTGGGTGCACATTCAGTTCAGGATCAACATATCAGTATCTTGTTTCTCCATACAGCGACCCAAAGAAACGCTTGAAAGAAAGGCGGCATAATGAAAACGTCTTACCATTTTCGAGAGCGACGCATCAAAACCGACAGCAACAAGCATGGCTTCATGCACACGCTGTCGGACCGGCCCAACACGCTCACTGCACTCTCTCTTCATGCCACATCTGCATGTGCATTCGACCCCTGCTTCGCTTTATCTCCCTGCTGAACCCCTCCAGGGATGCCAACAATCATGGCTGCATTTACGCGCTGTCAGACCGCCCCAACTTGGTGACTGCTGGCTTCCATATGGCAGAGGGAATTCTCAAAGCAACCTCTTTTCATGGCACATGCATTCAATCAACCCCTGCTTCTCTTTGTCTTCCTGCTTGCGTTGCCCCCAGGGACACCAACAAACAGGGGTTTATCTATGCACTGTCAGACCGCCCCAACTCGCTCACTGCCGGATTCCACAAGGCGGAGCGAATCCTCAAGTCGCTCTTCCTGCGCCGCCTCTACCTGTGGCCGCGCTTCCAGGTGAGTGTTCTGATGCTCCTTATTCCAACTTGTGTAGCTCGAAGCACTCAAGCACTCTCTTCTCAACTCGTACAGCGGAAAGCACTGTGCCCTCGACTGGTCTGGTAAATCACTCTCATCTTGAGCGAAACCTCAAGGCCCTCTTCCTGCGCCGCCTCTACCTCTGGCCGCGCTTCCAGGTGAGCGTGTCGATGTCCTCACCTCAGGCATTATAGTATAGGTGGACCGTGGAAGCACTTTCTCCTTCTGAGGATTCTCAAAGCGCTCCCCCTGCGCCGCCTCTATTCTGGCCGCGCTTCCAGGCAAGTCCTCATAGCGCACATCTGATTTCCCTATGTGCAAATACGACATGTTTTTTTATTTGAGAGCGTAATTGAACCATCCCAAGCCATGCATTCACCATCCAGGTGAGCGTGTCACAGGCACTGGAGCAGCACCCCCCCCACGTGGAGGACGTGAGGGTGCCTCTCTTGCCAGCAGCAGCAGCAGCAGCTTCATCCCTCTTACCTTTCACAGCCCACCCACACCATATCCCTCCACCCGTATTCACCTATCGTTCAGGTCAGTGTGTCCCAGGCGTTGGAGCAGCACCCCCCACACGTGGAGGACGTGAGGGTGCCTCTCTCGCCGGCAGCAGCAGGCATCCAGCAGGCGATCGTTGACATCATGGGCTCGTGCCTGCAGGTAGGCTCGTGCCTGCAGGTAGGCTCGTGCCTGCAGGTAGGCTCGTGCCTGCAGGTAGGCTCGTGCCTGCAGGTACACACCCTCCCATCGTCGCCCCATAGCCCAACAGCCCGACAGCCCCACAGCCCACCATGGCTCCGTAGCCCCATATCTTAACAGCCTAGTCCCACTCTCGCTGGCAGCAGGCATCCAGCAGGCATCCAGCAGGCCGTCGTAGGCATCATGGGGTCGTGCCTGCAGCTGCGAACCTCTCCATAGCCTCACAGGTGTGTTTTGAGTCGACTCAAAACGTGCCTGCAGCTGCGAACCTCTCCATAGCCTCACAGCTGTATGAGCCTTTAGGCGAGGCGTCTCCACATGTGCTTTATACAGCTAGTTGTTTTTCGTGTTTTGCTCTTCTTCTTAGGTAGTGCAGAAAGCAAATGGGAAGGGTGCAACGATACCCTCCTCCACCCTTTCATATGTTCTTCTTCTCAATCCCGTGCAATGCAAACCCTTGCTCTCCACCCTTTCATATGTTCTTCTTTCACTTGTTGTGTTGAAGGATCTGCGCCGTACAAACAAGCTGGACGTGGACGATCTGACGGTGGAGAGCGGCCTGTTCAAGTCGTTTGACGAGATCGTGCGGCGCCAGCTGGATCCCGTGTGGCACACACTGGGCCGCAAGATCAAACAGGTGAGGTCTCTCATGTGTGCATGTATGGTGGTAACTCATACATCGTGTTTTCTGTTTTACCTTCCTGTGCGTCCTCTTCATTCTCATCCCCATGCATCTCTTCTGAGAATTCTCATACATACACTGCATCTCTTCTGTTTCATCCTTGGGATTATATTCCATCTCATCTCCTCTCTTCCACGCAGTTCGTCGCCCATCCAAAGTAGCCGAGCATCTGCTGCACTCGGTCACGTTCCTGCCGTCCTCTTCCCGTGCACATCCCCATCCCCTTTGTCTGTGCCCCGTCTCTTTTCTCGTCATGCAGCTGGTGGCCGATCTGAGGACATTGAGGAAAGTAGCCGAGCACCTGCTGCGCTACGACTCGGTTACCTTCCTGCGCTCCCCATCCGGTCCTCATCCCCATCCCCTTGTTCCTACCCTCCCATCCGTTCTATTATGCAGTTGGTGGCCGATCTGAGGACTCTCAGGAAGATAGCAGAGCACTTGCTGCGCTACGACGCGGTCACCTTCCTGCGCTTCCTGGATGCGCTCAAGGCGAGCGAATCAAAGGCCGCCATCTGGATCTTTGTGGACCCCGCGCCCAAGATATTTGAGCTGGCCAAGCGGAGGGTGTATCAGGTGAGGGGGTTGAGTTGAGCATAGATGTGCCAAACCCCGCACATGAGGAAAAGGGTTTTTAAAACCCCCTGCGCCCAAGATATTTGGCCGAGCAGAGGGTGTACCAGGTGGGTAAGGTGGGTATGTCGGGTGAGGGGGGTGAGCCTTGATGTGCCAGGGAGGGAGAATGAGGCCATTTTTTGGACCCTGCACCCAAGTTGTTAGAGCTGGGCAAGGGGTGGGTACACGAGGTGAGTGAGGCGAGAGGAGCGGGTGAGTGGATTGGGCATGGGTGTTATACGTGAGGAAAAGGAGATTGCATAGACCTTGCGTCCAACTTATTTGAGTTAGCCAAACGGGTCTATTTTGTTGATGGCAGGACCAATATGTACCTTCATTTTGTTCGGCATACTGTTATCATGCTCTGCGGATGCTTTGCTTCTGCAGGATGGTTGTGGCTCTTGTAGGAGGGGGGTGGGGGAAATGGGTCGTTTGTTTCTCTTTCCTGACTCTATTCCAAGCATTCCTGCAGGTTGTGAGGTCAGCAGCAGTGGCAGTTCCACCGCCAGTGGCGGCACATCATGAGAAGCAACCAGCCAAGAAAAGAGTGAGCTCCATCATTCATTGCACTGCACTGCACGGTACTGCACCGCATGCAAGTTTTGAGGAGAGCATGAGCTGCAGCGGCAGGTCCACCACCAATGGCAGCACATCATGAGCGCCAGTCGCTGCGCTGCACCTGCATAGTACTGCTCTGGTTTACGAGTCGACTCAAAAGTCACCTGCATAGTACTGCTCTGGTTTACGAGTCGACTCAAAAGTCACCTGCATAGTACTGCTCTGGTTTACGAGTCGACTCAAAAGTCACCTGCATAGTACTGCTCTGGTTTACGAGTCGACTCAAAAGTCACCTGCATAGTACTGCTCTGGTTTACGGCTCCAAAAGCTTCATGGCCGGAAACTGTTTTTCTCCATTGGGTGTGTTCTCTCGCCCTCCCATCTTGCACTCAGGCTTTGCGTGGAAAGGAGCAGGAGGGAAAGGGAGGCACGGGCGAGGAAAAGTACCGAGAGGGCGGGGAAAGGGGCACTGATGAAGAAGGGCAGGGGCTGGAAGTGAGGGAGGAGGGAGGCAGAAGGGGGAGCGGGGAGGAGGGTGGGGTGGAGCTGCAGCCGGTACTGGAGGAGATGCCCAAATGGAAGGTGGTGCGGGTGAGTGAGATAACGAAAGGGTGACTGTAAGTCTCTTGGAGAGTCGGTGACTGTAAGTCTCTTGGAGAGTCGGTGACTGTAAGTCTCTTTGAGAGTAGGTTTCAGCCCACTAGTAAGCCTAGAGTGGGATGGTGGTGGTTTGGAGCTGCAGCCGGTGCTGGAGGAGATGCCCAAGTGGACGGTGCTGTGGGTGAGTCTGATGGCGTAGGTGACTGTGATGTGATAATATGATGTGAGGGCGAGTCTGTCTGAAAGTAGGGTTCAGCCTGCTTGTCAGCTTAGAATGGGGGTGGGTGGGGGGAGGGGGGGGGGGGGGGGGGGGGTGGAGCTGCAGCCGGTGCTGGAGGAAATGCCCAAGTGGAATGTGATGTGTGGGAGTCTGATGAAGTAAAGGTAAAGTAAAGGTGTGTGTGAGAGAATTTCTGTCCTTCGCATCAAGATTTGAGACAGTTTTTTTACCCACTTGCTTCCTTGCGTCTTGACCTCCATCCGCTCCCCTTCCAACAGGAACTTCTTGAAGAGATTCAAACGGAGCGCAGCGCACAACAGCAGGAAGCAGAAGCACCACCACCGGCACCATCAGCAGCAGAACCCCCCGTGCTTGTGGCATGCAAGGACGAGCGCACTTGCCACCAGCTGCGGGACGTGCTTGCCCTTGGTGCCGCCACGGTGAGCTCTCTGCTGCACTCCACACCTTCCCTACTGCTGCCCACGTGCAGTGGCAACAGTGGCTGCTGGTGAATGCTGGCCTCGTGGAGATGCACGCATGCCACTGGTCCTGCTTCATACGCCCATGCCACTCGTCCTGCTTCATACGCCCATGCCACTCGTCCTGCTTCATACGCCCATGCCACTCGTCCTGCTTCATTCGCCCATGCCACTCGTCCTGCTTCATACGCCCATGCCACTCGTCCTGCTTCATACGCCCATGCCACTCGTCCTGCTTCATACGCCTATGCCACTCGTCCTGCTTCATACGCCCATGCCACTCGTCCTGCTTCATACGCCCATGCCACTCGTCCTGCTTCATACGCCCATGCCACTCGTCCTGCTTCATACGCCCATGCCACTCGTCCTGCTTCATACGCCCATGCCACTCGTCCTGCTTCATACGCCCATGCCACTCGTCCTGCTTCATACGCCCATGCCACTCGTCCTGCTTCATACGCCCATGCCACTCGTCCTGCTTCATACGCCCATGCCACTCGTCCTGCTTCATACGCCCATGCCACTCGTCCTGCTTCATACGCCCTCTAACGATTTGCTCTCTCCCTTTTTACCTCTTCACACTCCCTTATACCCCTTCCCTCCCTGCATTCACCCATCCCTCTCCCGTCATTAACAGATGATGCCCTGCAAGTGGCAAGAGCTGACGTTATGAGGGGGTTTGCTGGTCATCATTGTTCCATGCTCCCCCCTCTCACACTCCACCCTTCCCCATTTCTCTCTCCTCCTGCCCTCCCTTCTTCCCGCCATCACCAGGTGATGCAGCGCGAGTGGCAGCACTACCTACTGGCCAAAGCTGACCTCATGAAGGCGAACCTTCCCAGACGGAGGCATGCGGCAGCTTCCGCTGCTACTGGCGCTGCCGCTGGCAATGCTAGCAGTAGCGGTGGCAGAGGTAACGGTGGCAACAGCAGCAGCCGGAGTGGAGGAAATGGCGCTTCTAGAAACGAGAGCGGCATGGACTCGTTCCAGAGAGAGCAGCTGCTGCTGCTGGCGGCAGCGAAGCAAGTGAGGAGGGAAATGGAGGAGGAGAGGGGAGGGGAGTTGGTGATGGCTGGGAGGGAAGAGGAGGAGAGTGGGGGGTTGAGAGGGGAGGTAGCAAGAGGAGGGCGGATGCAAGGAGGGGCGAGGGGGGATGGGAGAGTGAGGGGGGAAAGTGGGGGTGCAGGGGCAAGGGGAGGGGGTGGGGGGGAGGGGGAGAGGGAGGAGAGGGAGGGGAAAAAGGGGTGCGGCAGCAGCAGGGGGTGGGAGGGGAATAGAAGCAGACGGGCGGCATGTGCGACTGGATCTAGATTTGGAAGTGGTGGAGAGGGGTGGAGGTGGGTTTGAGGATGGGAACGAGGTTCAAGAGGTGCAGGGGGGAGCTGACAGGGAGGAAAGGGAGAATGCGGAGGGAGACGCACGGGATGGGGGAGGTGACGGGGAGGGGGTGAAAGAGAGGAGAGAGGAGAGGGGAAACGGTAGTGAGGAGGACAAGGGTGGTGATGAGGGAACAGAGAGGGAGGGGAGTGAGAAGGGAGAGAGGTGGAGAGGGAAGGGGAGAGGGCGAGGGAGAGGAGGGACCAGAGGGAGGAAAAGTGGTAGGGTGTCTGGAGCACGGGGGAGGGGACTGGGAGGAGAGAGTAAGAGGAAACGAGGAGGGATGGAAGAAAGCTTGCAGGAGCAAGAGCAAGGGGAGGCGGAGGAAGGGGAGGAGGAGCAGGAGGAAGGGGCTAGATTGGCCAGCATTGGCAATAATGACAAGGATGGTGATGATGATAGTGATAGTGATACTGATGTGGTTCTTATAGAGGAAGTTGAGGCAATAGTGGGGGACGTTGCGGCATTAGTGGGGGCCGGCGGTGAGGCGAATGCAAAGGATTCCAGGGAAATGAATGAGGGAGCGAAGAGGCGGAAACTCCAGAGAACCAACCCTGACACCTCGTCACCCATCCGAAACTCCAATGCACCCATTCAACCATCTGAGCCTCCACCCACCAACTCTACACTCTCTAATTCTGCACCATCCATGTCAGCACCGCGCAACCCCACCCCACATCCCGTCCCCCCACACCCCGACTCCTCCGTCTCCCTCCCCGCCCGCATCCGCCTCGAGTTTGTCCCACCATCGGCCAATGGGAGGCTGCCAGCTGTGCACCTGTGCACTCTGGAGGGCGCATCCCACGTGCTGGAGCGGCTACAGCCGGGCGTGGTGGTGGTCTATGATCCCGACATAGAGCTCGTTCGCCAGATCGAAGTATTTCACGCCGCCCGGGCGAGGGCTTGGGCAGGTGCGGCGGGCAGGGAAGAAAGTGGGGCGGCTGCTTCGGAAGCTGCCCAGGAGGGAGAAGGTGGTTCAGAGGGGGGAAGGGGGGATGGCGTGTGTGGAGTCAGGGGGAGAATAAAAGAGCCTGGCGAAGGGGGATCAGTCATGGGTGCTGCTGCTGCTGCTAGTGCTGCTGGTGCTAGTACTGCTGTCCCTGCACGGTCACAGCAGCAGCCTCCCCTGAGGGTGCTCTTCCTGTTCCACGAGGGGTCCACGGAGGGCCACAAGTTTGAGGCGAGCGTGCGGCGCGAGAACGGGGCGTTCGAGCAGCTCATCAGACAAAAGGCGGTTATGACCATCCCGGCAGAGCAGGTGCGTGGGTGGTTTCTTGCACTGCCTACCAGCAGGTGGGTGGGTATTGTGTTTTGTAACAGCGCATGGTTCGTATGCTTTGAGCAGCTCATCAGACAGAAGGCCGTGATGACCATCCCGGCAGAACAGGTGGGTGGGTGCCTTGGTGCAAGCAACAGAGCAAGTTGACTTTTGAGTCGACTCAACAGTCAACGGGTGCCTTGGTGCAAGCAACAGAGCAAGTTGACTTTTGAGTCGACTCAACAGTCAACGGGTGGCTTGGTGCAAGCAACACAGCAGCCGACCACGTGCGCCCCCTTCCTCCGCTTCTCCCCAACATACACGTGGCTCTGGCTTACCTCTCTCCTCTCTCTGGCTTACCTCTCTCCTCTCTCTGCCTTACCTCTCTCCTCTCTCTGGCTTACCTCTCTCCTCTCTCTGGCTTACCTCTCTCCTCTCTCTGGCTTACCTCTCTCCTCTCTCTGGCTTACCTCTCTCCTCTCTCTGGCTTACCTCTCTCCTCTCTCTTGCTTCCTCTCATCCTCATTCATCTCGTCTTGTGCTCGCCCTTCCCATTCATTCCTTCATTCCCAGCTCGCCAGGACGGCCGGCTTGCCACGGACCATGCCCACATGACCATGCCCACATGACCATGCCCACAGGACCATGCCCACATGACCATGCCCACATGACCATGCCCACATGACCATGCCCACATGACCATGCCCACATGACCATGCCCACATGACCATGCCCACATGACCATGCCCACATGACCATGCCCACATGACCATGCCCACATGACCATGCCCACATGACCATGCCCACATGACCATGCCCACATGACCATGCCCACAGGACCATGCCCACATGACCATGCCCGCATGACCATGCCCACATGACCATGCCCACATGACCATGCCCTCATGACCATGCCTCCTCCGCCCCTCTCCCACCCACCTGTGTCGCTGACTTATTTCTTTCCTTTCGCCTTGCTCCTGCTCATTCTCTATCAGGATGGCCAGTCCACCACAGACTATGCCCCCACATGACCCTGCCTCCTCCGCCCCTGCCCCTCTGAGTCTTCTCCTTCTTTCCTCTTGTTGTTACCCATTCACATCACATCCCATCAGGACGGCCGGTCTACCACAGACTACACGCATATGGCCTTGCCTCCTCCGCCTCTCACGCACCCACCTGTGTTCTCTGACATGATTCTTTCCTCTCTCTTGCTCATTCTCATTCTCTATCAGGACGGCAGGTCTACCACAGACTACACGCATATGGCCTTGCCTCCTCCGCCTCTCACGCACCCACCTGTGTTCTCTGACATGATTCTTTCCTCTCTCTTGCTCATTCTCATTCTCTATCAGGACGGCCGGTCTACCACAGACTACACGCATATGGCCTTGCCTCCTCCGCCTCTCATGCACCCACCTGTGTTCTCTGACATGATTCTTTCCTCTCTCTTGCTCATTCTCATTCTCTATCAGGACGGCCGGTCTACCACAGACTACACGCATATGGCCTTGCCTCCTCCGCCTCTCACGCACCCACCTGTGTTCTCTGACATGATTCTTTCCTCTCTCTTGCTCATTCTCATTCTCTATCAGGACGGCCGGTCTACCACAGACTACACGCATATGGCCTTGCCTCCTCCGCCTCTCACGCACCCACCTGTGTTCTCTGACATGATTCTTTCCTCTCTCTTGCTCATTCTCATTCTCTATCAGGACGGCCGGTCTACCACAGACTACACGCATATGGCCTTGCCTCCTCCGCCTCTCACGCACCCACCTGTGTTCTCTGACATGATTCTTTCCTCTCTCTTGCTCATTCTCATTCTCTATCAGGACGGCCGGTCTACCACAGACTACACGCATATGGCCTTGCCTCCTCCGCCTCTCACGCACCCACCTGTGTTCTCTGACATGATTCTTTCCTCTCTCTTGCTCATTCTCATTCTCTATCAGGACGGCCGGTCTACCACAGACTACACGCATATGGCCTTGCCTCCTCCGCCTCTCACGCACCCACCTGTGTTCTCTGACATGATTCTTTCCTCTCTCTTGCTCATTCTCATTCTCTATCAGGACGGCCGGTCTACCACAGACTACACGCATATGGCCTTGCCTCCTCCGCCTCTCACGCACCCACCTGTGTTCTCTGACATGATTCTTTCCTCTCTCTTGCTCATTCTCATTCTCTATCAGGACGGCCGGTCTACCACAGACTACACGCATATGGCCTTGCCTCCTCCGCCTCTCACGCACCCACCTGTGTTCTCTGACATGATTCTTTCCTCTCTCTTGCTCATTCTCATTCTCTATCAGGACGGCCGGTCTACCACAGACTACACGCATATGGCCTTGCCTCCTCCGCCTCTCACGCACCCACCTGTGTTCTCTGACATGATTCTTTCCTCTCTCTTGCTCATTCTCATTCTCTATCAGGACGGCCGGTCTACCACAGACTACACGCATATGGCCTTGCCTCCTCCGCCTCTCACGCACCCACCTGTGTTCTCTGACATGATTCTTTCCTCTCTCTTGCTCATTCTCATTCTCTATCAGGACGGCCGGTCTACCACAGACTACACGCATATGGCCTTGCCTCCTCCGCCTCTCACGCACCCACCTGTGTTCTCTGACATGATTCTTTCCTCTCTCTTGCTCATTCTCATTCTCTATCAGGACGGCCGGTCTACCACAGACTACACGCATATGGCCTTGCCTCCTCCGCCTCTCACGCACCCACCTGTGTTCTCTGACATGATTCTTTCCTCTCTCTTGCTCATTCTCATTCTCTATCAGGACGGCCGGTCTACCACAGACTACACGCATATGGCCTTGCCTCCTCCGCCTCTCACGCACCCACCTGTGTTCTCTGACATGATTCTTTCCTCTCTCTTGCTCATTCTCATTCTCTATCAGGACGGCCGGTCTACCACAGACTACACGCATATGGCCTTGCCTCCTCCGCCTCTCACGCACCCACCTGTGTTCTCTGACATGATTCTTTCCTCTCTCTTGCTCATTCTCATTCTCTATCAGGACGGCCGGTCTACCACAGACTACACGCATATGGCCTTGCCTCCTCCGCCTCTCACGCACCCACCTGTGTTCTCTGACATGATTCTTTCCTCTCTCTTGCTCATTCTCATTCTCTATCAGGACGGCCGGTCTACCACAGACTACACGCATATGGCCTTGCCTCCTCCGCCTCTCACGCACCCACCTGTGTTCTCTGACATGATTCTTTCCTCTCTCTTGCTCATTCTCATTCTCTATCAGGACGGCCGGTCTACCACAGACTACACGCATATGGCCTTGCCTCCTCCGCCTCTCACGCACCCACCTGTGTTCTCTGACATGATTCTTTCCTCTCTCTTGCTCATTCTCATTCTCTATCAGGACGGCCGGTCTACCACAGACTACACGCATATGGCCTTGCCTCCTCCGCCTCTCACCCACCCGGCTGCTGCGAACGCTATCACAAGAAGAGGAGGAGGGCGGAGAGCTGCAGAGCGACAAGAATTGAGGGTGAGTAAGCCTGAGAAGGAGGGTGTGGAATGGAGAGAGGGGCAGGAAGGCGGGTTGATATGATCTGAGAGGAAATTTTTTTGTACAGACCCCTCTCTGCTTGCTGTCCGTCCTCCCTGCTTGCACCTGTGTGGCACATAGAGGCTTGAAGATACACGTTGCATGCATCCCCCCTCATATAGTAGGTGGTAATTGACATGAGAGGGAGTTCGACAGCAAGCAGTGGTGTTGCTTTCGTCCCGCTTTTCATCACACCTTCGCCTTGCATGCATGCATGCATGCATGTATCCCCCTCCCTTCCCCAAGCAGGTGGTGGTGGACATGAGGGAGTTCAACAGCAGCCTCCCCTGCGTGCTGCACCAGCGGGGCATCAAGATCCTCCCGGTGACCCTCGAAGTGGGCGACTACATCCTCTCGCCCGACATCTGTGTGGAGCGCAAGAGCGTCAGCGACCTGTTTGCCTCCTTTGCGTCGGGGCGCTTGCACCACCAGGCGGAGACCATGTGCCGCTACTACCGCCTGCCAGTGCTGCTGATCGAGTTCTCCAGTGACAAGAGCTTCTCTTTGCAGGTAAGAAGGGATTGTTCACAACCAGACTCTTTTCCTCTTTTTTGCTCGGGTCGGCTGCACCGCCAGGCGGAGGCCATGTGCTGTTACTACCGCCTGCCTGTACTGGTCATTGAGTTTTCCAGCGACAAGAGCTTCTCTTTGCAGGTAAGCAAGGGCTCGCCAGAGAGTCGCTGTGTGTGGTTCAGAAGAGCAAGTGAGCGACCTGTTTGCCTCACTTGCATCAGGGCCGCTACTACCGCCTTCCGGTGTTGCTCATCGAATTCGCCAGCGACAAGAGCTTCTCCTGCTGCAAGTGCCTCATACTCGTCTCTGTCTTTTCACTGTCTCTCTGCACCCCACCTCCCATTTTCCCACTGCCAGTCAGCGAGTGACATCAGCGATGACATCACCCCATCCAGCATCATATCCAAGATGTCGCTACTCGCGCTGCACTTCCCGCGCCTGCGGATCGTGTGGTCCAGATCGCTCCATGCGACAGCTGAGATCTTCACGTCGTTGAAGACCAATCAGGACGAGCCAAGTGTCGACCAGGCGATGAGGGTCGGCGTGCCGACGGAGGAAGGGCTGGTGGAGGGTGACACGAGGTAGGGGGAGGGTGACACGAGGTAGGGGGAGGGTGACACGAGGTAGGGGCAGAGTGACACGAGGTAGGGGGAGGGTGACACGAGGTAGTGGCAGAGTGACACGAGGTAGGGGCAGAGTGACACGAGGTAGGGGCAGAGTGACACGAGGTAGGGGGAGGGTGACACGAGGTAGTGGCAGAGTGACACGAGGTAGGGGCAGAGTGACACGAGGTAGGGACAGAGTGACACGAGGTAGGGGGAGAGTGACACGAGGTAGGGGGAGGGTGACACGAGGTAGGGGGAGGGTGACACGAGGTAGGGGGAGGGTGACACGAGGTAGGGGGAGGGTGACACGAGGTAGGGTGACACAAGGAAGGGTGACACGAGGTAGGGTGACACGAGGTACGGTGGCATTCAAGGTATGCTTGAATTGTATCGTTCCACCAAATTCACAACGTTGGTGATATGAGTCAGGGTGGCTGCTGGTGGTCCGAGGTAGGAGCTAGGCTGTGTCATGCGGCTGGGAGATTGGTGGGCTGCGATAGAGAATGGTGGGGAGAATTGAAGCACAGAGGTAAGCGGTAATGAGAGTTAAATGGGGTTGTAGGGGGAAATGGGATATGAGTTCAGAACAGCATGCTGCAAGGGAGGGGTTGGTTCTTGAGAGTTCTCAAAAGCAGTGTTCATAGATGAGGTGGGGCTGTAGGAGGAAACGAGATGTGAGTTGAGAACAGGTGGCATGGAGCAGGGGAGGATAGCATAGGAAACAGGGAGCACCACAGGTACACAGTATCCTTCAAAGGTTTTCACTGAACGTGGCCTAAGGTCCAGCAGGCACACTTGTGTCTCTCTCTCGCTCACTTCCACTCTCATTCACTGTCACTAACTGTGCAATGCTCTTCTTTTCCACCCCATGCTGCCTTTTCTGGTCATTATCCCACCAATCAGAGACGAGCATTTCAACACGACAGCCGTAGAGTTTCTTCGGCGCCTGCCCGGAGTCTCTGACGCGAATTACCGCTCATTGGTCGATAACTGTGGCAGCCTGGCTGAGCTAGCGCTGATGCGTGTTGATGAGCTGGCGCCAATGATGGGCGGCATGCGCCCGGCTCAGATGTTAAGAGACTTTCTTGACGCCAAGTGCCCAACGCTCAAATAGTTGAATTTATGGAGATGGCTGGTGTTCCAATATAGCTGAATAAGCTGCATCGGGTAGGGTGGTTAAGTATGTACATAGCATGATTACATTGTGCATAGGAGGCACTACGCTGCGGTCTCTTTCAAAATCATGTGAAGGCCAGTATTGACCCATGTGTTGTTTTTTCTTCTCCTATTTCATATGCTAATGACTTGCTGGATGTCACATAACTCTCAGATTTGCTGGGAGGATCACCAATGATTGGGTTCACATTTTGACACATGTCATTAAAAGCAATTACAATAAATGCAAGCCTTTTATTCTGTGAGAACGGCTGTCCTCTCTTGAGAAACGCGTTTTCTTAGCGCGTACAAACGATTCGAAATTACCACCCTCCAGCTAGTCATCACCACATTTCCGCTTCTGATGGCATCCGTGTCGTTACGACCTGCTCCGCCATGCCTTCTGGTGGTGTCAGTTCCCTCGCCTGTACGCATCTGATAAGGACCAGCTTTCACAAACGCACTGACCGGTTTCGTATCCCATAGCTATTTTCTGATCCATCGGATGGCGAGTGACCTGTCAGGTCGTTTCATCTCCCCCCTTTTCAGTTCGACACGTTTCATGACGACACTTTCCACCTTACCACAATATACCCGTTGCGAGGCTGCAAAACTAGCCAGGACGAGTAGAGTGAACCAAGCGTGGGAAGGGGAGAGCGAGTCGCGTTCAAGATTTCCCTTTAACGAGGGGAGTCGATGCGCGTCTCCGCTACCAAACCGTCTAGTTGAATCCAGGCTCAAAACGGCGGCGGGAACATTCAGAGAATTCGGAAGCGACTTGTTTCAGCGTGGCGGCTGTACGGTCAGTAAAGTAAACAGTTGCCACTCTTACAGCAGCAGCAGCGGCAGCAGGAGGAGCAGCAGTGGCAGCAGCAGAGACGGCGTTGGAAGAGAGAGGTCCCGGATGGCGTCGTTTAAGCATGTCGTGGGACCGTCAGATGCGGTAAAGGCGTCTCGTAAATCTTGCCGGTCTTCGTTTACCTGCCTGAGTCCCTCCGAAGCGGAATGGCGGCTGATGCTGACGGAGATTGGCGTGCAGCCACGTAAGATGTCCCGCATTTTGACTCAGTACCACGCGATGCCTGCTGACGTGGCATTGGAAAGACTGGTATTTCTCCAGAGTTTGGGGGTAGACATCGGAAAAGCCCTCTCCTCCTTTCCCAAACTTCTATTCTACCCCCCTTCAACTGCCCGAGCCATGGCGGATTACCTAACCTCCATTGGCGTCCAACCGGGCTTGATTGGGAAAGTTTTGTCTGCCTGCCCGCAGCTCCTCGGGCTGAGCATTGAAGACAATATCTGCCCAACGATTTCCCACCTGGTGGAAGAATGGGGACTCAACCAATCATGCGACATCCCTGTGGTGATCTCACGCCACCCACGCTGCCTAACCTACTCTATCTCAGAAAACCTTCAACCGACCCTAACCTTCTGGCTCGGTTCGGGAATCGCCAAGCCTGCAAAACTCATCCGAGCCAATCCATCGATCCTTGGACTTTCCACTACCAAACGGATTCTCCCCACGATCGCTGCATTTGACAGTTATGGCATCCCACCCCGCCTCACTATTGACATGGTTCAGAAATTCCCCCATCTCTTCAATTACAGTTGGAATAGTAATCTTATGCCAAAGCTACAGTACCTGGAAGAAGTGGGGAGGGGTATTGACGAGGCGGTTCAGCACCCACAGTATTTCGGGTACAGTTTGGCTCGGCGGATTAGGCCGAGGCTCGGGGGTGTGGCTCGGGCCGGACTGCATGTGAGCCTGAGCTTTGTGCTGCGGCTGAAGGATGAGGATTTTGAGCGGCTGTATGGTGATGTGTGTAGGGTGGAAGGAGGGGGAGGTAATGGGAGGGACGCACAGGAGCAAGGGACTTGCACGTGAAAGGCAAGCAATTTCAAGGAGTGAGGGAGCGGACCAGGCATATTGCAACAGAGCTAAGTGCGTATTGTACTCTTGGTACTTGCCTTGCCCCCTCCCAATAACTTTTCCCCTCCCCCTCCCTCAACCACCAACCCTTACCATGGTTTGTCTCTTTCCACTTGGATGTGTCACCTTCTTAGTAGCTCTGTCAGTTTCACATCCTGTTTTTCACCTAGTCTATCTCCCTGTCACCTCTCAGATTTTTGCGGCCAACAGTTTGCTGAACCTCTGTCATTTCCCTCACCTCCTCCCTCCCCACCACCCCTTTTTACCGTATGTGCAACCAGGTTCTAGTGCTTGACTTGAGCTGGCTTTTGCTATGGTCCAAGTTTTCTGACTCTTGTATGATGGCACTTGCTGCACTGTAGAATTTACTGATTGCACTATTAGCTTCTCCCACTTATCCGCGTTATGAGATGTGGCGTACATATCCGAGAAAAAATCTACATCATCAAAAGTAATTATTGACGTTCCCCCCAGGCCGTCGATTCCAGCTTGGGTGTTTCTTCAACCACACGAGGCTTGGTTTGAGACGGGTTCTCTTATCTCATTCATCGAACTAGGCTGACCTGCCGCCAAACTTCCAATTCTGGATTTTTTTTTCGCACCAAACCAATCAAGTTCCGTGGACCGTGGTTGAACTTGGAGCTGTGAATTGCAATCTGGGCCTCACAGGGGGAGATCAACGACTAGCCTACCTGGGGTACGCTGACGACACGACATTGCTCCTGCAAGGGGAAGAACAGATATCAGAGGCTGAGAAGCTGCTGGACGACTTCGAAAAGGAATCGGGGCTGGCGACCAACAAATCGAAGTTGGCTGTTCTACCCTTGGGCTGCAATTTGAACAAACCGGCTAGCAAAACCGATGGTTTCAAATGGGTGAAGGCCGACGAGGTGGAGAGACTGTTGGGGGTCTGGGTGACGCCGGTCGGTTGCTGCGCGCCCACCTGGGAGAAGGCATTCGCACGGATAAAGGAGAAACTGAGGCAGTGGGAGGTGCAACACCTGACGACCAGGGTGAGAGCAGCAGTAATAAACTGTTACATCTCACCTATCATCTTCTTTCAGGCGCAGGTGTACCCACCTCCGGTTGACATCTGGGGAAGGATTCTGAAGTTGACACATAACTTCATGTCTGGGAACCGGGCCTCCACAGACAAAGCCTTCATTATGTGGAGCAAGGAGTTGCTGTACATGGCTAGAGAGGATGGGGGTATGGGGGTGTGCGATCCGGAGATAGCCCTCACCTGTCTCACGGCGAGGCGTATCGGCTTACTCCTCACCGAGACAAACGAGCTGAAACGGGACATTATGCTCAAGGCTGCTGACTTGCCGCTGGGGCTGGACACATTTGTTTCTCATGTCAAGCTCCTGAAGTGCTGGAGTGGGAAGAGTGAGCGATGGAAGCTGGCTTGTGGCAACTTCATACAATCGCCGCTGGCCGACACATCACCTGCACTGTCATGGGCGGAGGCAGAGAAGGAGAGGATCGATTTCAACCGACATATTTTGCTAAACGGGAGGACTCTGGTGGGAGGGCAGAAGGCGGCGGAGAAGCTCTGGGAGGTCCGGCTTAGCGACTTGCTAAGCCCGGACGGTGCGGGGGGCCGGCGGCCTAAGGACGTAAAGCTCCTGGCGAAGGAGCTAGGCGGTACCAAACAAGCGAAGCTGGCGCTGCGGGCCTGGGATGCAGTGCCGCAGAACTGGAAGCTGCTCCTTCTGCCTGCCGAGCAACAGGAGGGGGACGTTTTGGCTCCGAGGGCTCCCCTCCAGAGAACCCTCGTGCTCAGCGGTGGGCAGCTGACGTCGCTGAGGGAGCTGAAGGGATGCTGGCAACAGAAGAAACATCAGTCCGCAAAGAGAGAGCTGTGGGCGGGCAGATGGGGAGGAGAAATTAACTAGAAGGAGGTCATCAAGATCTGGGACTCTTTGGTGACACCAAACAGGCCGCGGGACGTATTGCTAAGGATTCACAGTTTGAATCTGCAAGTGGGGGAACGACTCTCTTTCCTAAGTGGCAAGCCGGTCTGCCCGCACTGTGGAGATTTTGAGACCATAGAGCACTGCCTCTTCACCTGCCCGCGCATTCAGCTGGTGGTGGGTGGGGGCAGTCAGGCGGGCCATGCGTTTGCTTCATCCAGCGAGGCATGTGGAGAGCCTGAGTGATTTGTTGTTCGGCAAGGCAGCATCCACCTCAGCCTTCCCTGAAGCCTCGCTGGCAGCAATTGCGGTGCATCAGATATGGGCAGAGCGGTGTGATTTGTCAAACATTATATATGTTATACTTGTGTAGGCTACAGTGGGTTAGCCTATAGGGGGTACACAATTCTAGGGTTTACTACTTGTACTCTTTTCACTTCTAGTTCATCCATTCCTGTTCGCTTATTCTCACATGGTATAGAGCGGGTCCTTCTACGGACCGTTTTTTTTTGGGCCCACCGAAGCGCCCCCCGAGGCGCGATCTTTTTTTTAGCGACCCCTCGGGTCGCCATTTCCCCTGCGGCCCCGCCGCCTTCACTGACGCGGCCCCGCCGCCCTCTCTGTCGCGGCCCCGCCGCCTGCTCTCACGCGGCCCCGCCCCGGCTTCTACGCGGCCCCGCCCCGGCTTTCACGCGGCCCCGCCGACGGCTTTGTCGCGGCCCCGCCCAGGCCCTTACGCGGCTCCGCCGCCTGCTCTCCCGCGGCCCCGCCCCGGCTTCTTCGCGGCCCCGCCGCCTGCTCTCGCGCGGCCCCGCCCCGGCTTCTACGCGGCCCCGCCCCGGCTTTCACGCGGCCCCGCCGACGGCTTTGTCGCGGCCCCGCCCAGGCCCTTACGCGGCTCCGCCGCCTGCTCTCACGCGGCCCCGCCCCGGCTCCTTCGCGGCCCCGCCACCTGCTCTCGCGCGGCCCCGCCCCGGCTTCTACGCGGCCCCGCCCCGGCTTTCACGCGGCCCCGCCGACGGCTCTGTCGCGGCCCCGCCCAGGCCCTTACGCGGCCCCGCCGCCTGCCCCCGTCGCGGCCCGGTCACCTCCTGACGGCCCCGCCGTCCCTTCGTGACGGCCCCGCCGTCCCTTCTTGACGGCCCCGCCGTCCCCTCCTGACGGCTCCTGCCGTCCCCTTCTACCGGCCCCGCAACTGCACCTGCTGGCCCCGCCGCTGCACCTACCGGCCCCCACCACCCACCCCCCCCTTTTCCCGTCGCCTGTCGAGGCGACCTGAGAGGCCAGCAGAGGGGTGGCAGGTGTGTGGCCTCCCCTGCTTCTCCTCCTCCTTCATCTCCCACTGCAGCAGCCGAGCCGCTCACCTGCAGCAGCCGAGCCGCCCCACAGCCGAGCCGCCCTGCCGCCGAGCCGCCGGGTCGCTGAGCTGCTGAGCTGCAGTTGCTGCCGAGCCGCCCTGCCGCCAAGCCGCCGAGTCACCGAGCTGCTGAGCTGCAGTTGCTGCTGAGCCGCCTTGCCGCCGAGCCGCCCGAGTCGCCCGAGCCGCCGAGCCGCCGAACTGCCGAGCCGCTGGGTCGCCGAGCCTACTCTTCCCACCACTGGTGAGCTCTTGCCCTGCTAGCACACTGCGCGTCGCCTGCTTGCCTGCCTGCCTGCCTTTTGGCTTGCCTGGCTGCCTGCCTCCCTGCTGCTAGTCCTGCTCCTGCTTCTACTTGCGGAGCCACATGCAGCCCCAGCGACGCCGGCGTGAGTCCCTCACGCCCCAGCAGCTGCGTGAGTGGTACGCTGGTTGGGGCTGTAGGGGTGGCGACGCTACTCCTACTACCACTCCTGCTGCTTCTACTCGTGGTGGCGGCCAGATGCAGCTCCCGCGACCCTCTCGCGTGTCTCTCACGCCTCGCCAGCTTCGTGAGTGGTACGCTCAGAGTGGAGGGTCTCTCAGTGCTGTTCGCTGCTCTTACGTGATTCGCACTGGTACTCGGACTGGTCAGCCTTGTGGGACACGTAGTCATACACCGTCCCGCTGCTTCGCCCGTCTGAGCGACGCCTGGCGTACCGTGTTTGGCGACGAGGCTGAGCTTCCCGACTGGGTGGAGTTACTTAGGCAGAGGGTAGATATATATGCTCTTGACTATGATGCTATTCTCACTGCCATGTATGCATTGCCTACTAGTGCTGACAGTGCCGGTCACCTGTGCGTCCCGCCTGACCCAGGTATAGGACCTGCTGCTCTAGCTACTGGTGAGGCTGCTACTCTGGGTGCTAGTGAGTCTCCTGCTCCAGGTACAGGTGCGGCTGCTGCTCTAGGTGCTAGTGAGTCTGCTTCCTCAGGTGCGGGTGAGGCTGCGCTCTCAGGTACCGCGTTGGCTTCGGCCTCCCTCACCTTTACACTTGACTCTGGGGCTTCTCGCTCCTTCTTTCGGGACCGCACCACACTCACGCCGCTTGGTCGGCCGGTTGCAGTCTCCCTGGCTGACCCCTCTGGGGGTCCTGTCCTCGCTCACTTCTCCACTGTCCTCCCGTGTCCGGCTGCCCCCTCGGGCACCCTGTCTGGCCTGTACCTCCCCTCGTTCTCGACGAACTTGGTGAGTGGTGCAGACCTACAGGATGCGGGGGTTCACCAGTTCACTCCTGCGAGTCAGCGGGTGACCCACTGCACGGACGCACGCACAGGCCGGCACCTGGCCACGTTCTCGCGTCGGCCGGGGTCGAGCCTCTACACCCTGACCACTGAGTCTCCTCCTGTCCCCGCGTCCGGTCAGGTAGCAGCGTCGGGTCAGGTGTTTGCTGCTGCGTCCAGGTCTGGTCCTGAGTCTGCCCCCTGTACTTGTCGCCTCCTGTCTCACGAGACTCTCCTGTGGCACCACCGTCTTGGTCACCCCTCCTTGCCCCGTCTTCGGAGCATGGCTTCCCGTGTCCTTGTCTCTGGTCTTCCCCAGTCTCTCCCTCCTCTCCCCTCCGGGCCAGGACCTTCCTGTGTCCCCTGTGTCGAGGGTCGCCTCCGGGCTACTCCTCACTCCTCCCACTTCCCCCCGACAGAGGCTCCCCTGCAGACGCTTCACATGGATGTGTGGGGCCCAGCCCCCGTCCGTGGGCAGGGTTACGAGCGCTACTTCCTGTTGGTGGTTGACGACTACTCGCGTTACACCACAGTCCTCCCCTTGCGCAGCAAGGGTGAGGTCACTGAGGTGCTGATCGACTGGATCCGCGAGGCTCGTCTCCAGCTCAGGAAGAGCTTCGGCTCGGACTTTCCTGTTCTGCGTCTGCACTCTGACAGAGGCGGAGAGTTCTCTTCTCGCCTTCTGCGAGACTACTGTCGTGCACGGGGGATCCGCCAGACCTTCACGCTTCCGGACTCACCACAGCAAAATGGGATTGCTGAGCGCCGCATTGGCATGGTCATGGATGTCGCTCGTACGTCCATGATGCATGCGGCTGCCCCCCATTTTCTGTGGCCGTTTGCGGTGAGGTACGCGGCGCATCAGCTCAACCTTCACCCCCGGGTCTCTCGGCCTGCGATGTCCCCAGCCTTGCTGTGGACGGGGAAGGTTGGCGATGCGTCTGTGTTCCGTGTCTGGGGATCTCGGGCGTTTGTCCGCGACTTGTCTGCGGACAAGCTGTCCCCTCGTGCTGCTCCCTGTGTCTTCCTTGGCTTCCCCACTGACGCCCCAGGGTGGCAGTTTTACCACCCCTCCTCTCGTCGTGTTCTGTCCTCCCAGGACGTCACGTTCGACGAGTCAGTCCCCTTCTACCGTCTCTTCCCCTACCGCACTCCTTCCCTCCCCCCTCCCCCGGACTTCCTTGTGCCGGTTCCCCCCCCGGTAGACCCCCTCCCCCCTCAGGTTCCTGCCCCCTCAGGTGTGTCCCAGGTAGACGCCGTTGACCCGGTCGAGGTTACTGGTGACTCTGGTGCTGCTGCGGGTGCTGAGCCTGGGGGTGCTGACTCTGGGGGTGCTGTGCGCGGGGGTGCTGAGCCTGGGGGTGCTACTGCTGGGGGTGCTGGGCCTGAGGGTGCTACTGCGGAGGGTGCGGAGCCTGGGGGTGCTGAGCCGGGGGGTGCTGTGCCTGGAGGTGCTGGGTCTGGGGGTGCTGGGTCGGGAGCTGCTGAGTCTGGGGGTGCTGCGTCTGGAGCTGCTGAGCCCGGGGTTTCTCCTGCTGCTGCGTCTCGCCGGGAGCCCCTCTCTCCACAGGAGCTGCGCGAGTGGTTCGCTCGCCGCTGGAAGCGTGCTGCTGAGTCTGGAGGTGCTGCTGGAGCTGGAGCTGGAGCTTCTTCGACCGTCGAGGGTGCGGGTGCTGCCGGTCCCGGAGCTCCTGGACCTGCGGGTCCTCCTGGAGCTGGAGCTGCTGAGGGCGTTGGTGCTGAGCCTACTGCTGTTGGTCCTGCCGCTGGAGGTGTGGGTGGCGCTGGTGCTGTCGCTGAGGGTGCTGGTGCTGTCCCTGCTGCGTCTGGAGCTGCTGAGCCTGGGGTTTCTCCTGCTGCTGCGTCTCGCCGGGAGCCCCTCTCTCCACAGGAGCTGCGCGAGTGGTACGCTCGCCGCTGGAGGCGTGCTGCTGAGTCTGGAGGTGCTGCTGGAGCTGGAGCTGGAGCTTCTTCGACCGTCGAGGGTGCGGGTGCTGCCGGTTCCGGAGCTGCTGGACCTGCGGGTCCTCCTGGAGCTGGAGGTGCTGAGGGCGTTGGTGCTGAGCCTACTGCTGTTGGTCCTGCCGCTGGAGGTGTGGGTGGCGCAGGTGCTGTCGCTGAGGGTGCTGGTGCTGTCCCTGCTGAGTCTGGAGCTGCCGCGCGGCCTCGGCCGTACTTCGTTCCGCTCCTACAGCAGGTTCTTGGTCTTTCTCCTTCGGTAGAGTGTCCACAGCCTATCCAGTCGAAGTCACTGTTGGAGCCTTCCTCTCCTCTGCCTGCTCCCTCTCCTTAAACTGGTCCTACTGGAGGTCTTGCTGAGCGTCGTGAGCCTGCGTCTCGTCCCGCGTCGCCTGTTCGTGCT